TTCAGCTCAAATATCCCTTAAAAAGCCTTCCCCTGGGATAGGCCCCCAGTACAATAAGGGAGAGAAGAATGTGGCTTCTGGAACCATGATGAAATTGTGGCTCTACCACTTATTCTCCATGGGACCATGGCCAAGTTACTTGGTGCCTCAGTTTCCTCAAGGGTAAAGTGGGATGTCAACATTATCATCCTCAAGGCATTATGAGTTCCTGTAGACCTTAGAATGACTGTTACACAAGTGCTGTCCTATGTCAGCTACATTTCTACCATCATTGTGGCCACTGTCATATTCCTTTATAGTAATCTGTCTTCCACAACTATGACAGCATGAGGTCTGACTTCTCTGTGAAACGAAGTCCTACAGGCTTTTGTTCATCCCAGTTTTTTCAGCTCTTGCAAGCTGCCTAGCACATGCTGAATACTGAATAAATATTTGTCAAATATGCAAAGAAAAATAAGTCTCCACTCTCAGATGCCATGGGAGATAGGAAAAAGGAATGACAAATTTCTACTTTCTTCATTTAAAACACTAAATGAAAAAAAATCCCACTTTTTGTTGGGCTGCTCAGGATAAATTAGGTGTCTGCTACACAAGTTAAAAGAATAAGCGATCACAACTAACATTAATGATCCTAATACCTTAGCCTATAGCTCATATATAGTTTAAACTAGACTCTCTTAAACAATACATTGTTCTAGCAAAGGACCAGTGGCTCAAGCTTATAATCTTAGCTATTCAGGATAAGATCTGAGGATCAAGATTCAATGCCAACACAGGCAGGAAAGCCCATGAGATTCTTATCCAAACCAACAAGCAGGAAGTGGTAGAGGGTTAGCCTTGACTAAAAAAAAACTCGGGGACAGAACCCAGAACTAAGTTCAAGCCCCAGGCCCAGCACTGGAATATCCATTTTACAAATAAAAAAACTGAGGAGCAGAGTACCTTGCACATAGCCAAGCCAGGTTTAAAAATATAAAGTTCATACTGCAATTTTTCTTTTTTTAAAGAATGTTACAGAAGGGGTGGGATGTATCGCAGTGGCAAAGCGCCTGCCTAGCATGTGCAATGTCCTGGGTTTGATCTTTACTACCAAAGTAGAAAAGACAAAAAAAAAAAAAAAGGAAAAAAAAAAAAGAATTATAGAAGAGATGCCTACAGTATTGTTTTTATATGAACATTTAACCCACTCAAGTCTGTGTGTTAACCTAAGTGTAAAAGTTCTTTAAAAAAAAAAAAGAGCTGAGAAGATGGCTCAGGGGTAGAGCACTTGCCTTGCATGCATGAGGCCCTGGGTTTGATTCCTCAGCACCACATAAGCAGAAAAAAAAAAGCCAGAAGTGGCGCTGTGGCTCAAGTGGTAGAGTGCTACCCTTGAGCTGAAGAGCTGAGGGACAGCGCCCAGGCCCAGAGTTCAGGCCCCACGACTGGACCAAAAAAAAAAAGCCTTTACTTCTCCCAGCTCTTGAGAGAAATTGGGAGGACCACAATATAAGGATAAGCTGGGGAAAAAGCCACTAGGTATAATGGCTCACTGCTGTAATCCTAGCTATTCAGGAGGTATGGCTGGTTCAAGGCCAGCCCCCAAAATTGCAAAAAGTTCACAAGACCCCCCACTTCAATAATTAAAAGCTGGGCCCGAGCTGGGCTCCGGTGGCTCACACCTGTAATCCTAGCTACTGAGGAGACTGAGATCTGAGGATCACGGTTCAAAGCCAGCCTGGGCAGGAAAATCCATGAGACTCTTATCTCCAACTAACCACCAGAAAACAGAAAACCAGAAGTGGCATTGTGGCTCAAGTGGTAGACAGCTAGCCTTGAGCTGAAAAGCTCAGGGACAGTGCCCAATCCCAGAGTTCCAGCCCCACAACGGGAGGGCGGGGGGGGGGGGGGGGGGGGGCCTGCGGGAGGGGGGGAGCTGGGGCTGGTGGTAAGAGCTTTTCATCAATCTGGGCAGGCCTAGGCATAGAGTGAGAATCACCTCAAAAATAACCAAAACAAAATGGGCTTGGAGTCATGGGTCAGTTGGTAGAGTTCCTGCTAAGAAATCTAAGACCAGGGGCTGAAAAGGGAGAGCTCAGTGGTAGAGTGCTTGCCTAGCATGCATGAGGCCCTGGGTTCGATTCCTCAGTACCACATAAGCAGAAAAAGCCAGAAGTGGCACTGTGGCTCAGTAGAGCACTAGCCTTGAGCTGAAGAGCTCAGGGACAGCGTCCAGGCCCAGAGTTCAGGCCTCACAACCGACAAAAAAAAAAAGAAATCTAAGACCAAATTCAAACCCAGTTCAGGTGAGAAGAGAGGTGGGAAACCAAAACACGGAGCTCTATAATGTGACTAAACACCTAATTTATTTTGAATGTTATTGTGTGCAAAGTACTAGTTCAGTTGTTAAAAATATAGCAAGACACCCCCACTCTCATAAAGCTTGAATTCTTGACAAAAGAAAAACATCACACAAAATAATTAAGAAATATAATTTATCATGTTAGATAGAAGGTAAAAGTGCTATGGAGAAAAACAAGGCATATAAGAGTTATCTAGAGGGCTGGGAATGTGGCTTGCCTAGCATGCATAAAGCCCCGAGTTCGATTCCTCAGTACCACATACACAGAAAAAAACAGAAGTGGCACTGTGGCTCAAGTGGTAGAGTGCTAGCCTTGAACAAAAACAGCTCAGGGACAATGCCTAGGCCCTGAGTCCAAGCCCCAGGACTGACCCCCACCCCCCAAAAAATAAAAAAGTATCTAGAAAGGGCTGCCCCAAGTAAGAAACAAATACTGTCTATGAGACCCAAATAAGAAGACCTCTTCATGAAACCATTTGAGGAGAATTCTTCCCAAGAAGAAAATCAGGGGGCTGGGAAGGTGGCTTGGTGGTATAGTGCTTGCCTTGCATGCATGAGGCTCTGGGTTCGATTCCTCAGCACCACATAAGCAAAAAGAAAAAAGCCAGAAGTGGCGCTGTGGCTCCAGTGGTAGAGCGCTAGCCTTGAGCTGAAGAGCTGAGGGACAGCGCCCAGGCCCAGAGTTCAGGCCCCACGACTGACCAAAAAAAAAAAAAACAAGAAGAAATTCAGGTGCAAAGCCTTCTGAATAAGGTTTACAGGTGGTGTCTTTTGAGATCAGAGGAGTAAGATAAGCAAGGGGTAAGAGATGAGGTCACAGCAGGGGCAAATCCGGAGGGGCTTGCTTGTCTGCCACTGCAGGAACTCTGGCTTTTACTGTGAGAGTTGAGAGCCACTGACAAATTCTGAGCAGAATGATCTTACATTTTAACAGGCTTAAGTGTGGAAGACAACACTGTGTCAAGAATAAAGGAGAGGGAGCCAGGCGCCAGTGGCTCATGCCTGTAATCCTAGCTACTCAGGAGGCTGAGATCTAAGGATCTCGGTTCAAAACCAGCCCAGGCAGGAAACCCTGTGAGACTCATCTCCAATAAATCACTCGAAAACCGGAAGTGGCGCTGTGGCTCAAGCGGTAGAGTACTCGTCTTGAGCTGAAGAGCTGAGGGATAGTGCCCAAGCCCAGAGTTCAAGCCCCACGACCAACCAAAAAAAATAAAAAGAATAGAGGAGAGGAAGGTGGCTCAGTGGTAGAGTGCTTGCCTTGCATGCATGAGGCCCTGGGTTCGATTCCTCAGCACCACATAAACAGAAAAAGCCAGAAGTGGCACTGTGGCTCAAGTGTAGGGCTCTAGCCTTGACCTGAAGAGGTGAGGGGCAGTGCCCAGGCCCAGAGTTCAGGCCCCACGACTGACCAAATAAATAAATGTCATTAAAAAAAAAAAAGAATAGAAGAGAAAGGATAGAAAGAAGGTAGACCAACTAGGAGACTACTGTCATGATCTGAGTATATTAAGAGGATAGTCCAAATGAGGACAACAGCAAAGGAGGTGTGAAGAAGTGGCCAGAATAATCTTGCTAGAATTCAAAGTTAATGCCTATCAAACTGCTAACGACTTGGAACATGAGAAAGAGGAATTAAAGCAGTTAATACTGAATTCTCAGTGCCCAGCATACACACATGTATGCTAGTGAATAACCAGCACTTCCCTGCAGCTTGTCACACCCCAGAGTCTGTGTGTAGAGTCTCATCTTCCCACCTCAACTAATGATAGCAGTAACTTTTCTAGCTAAGATTTGAGCACTCAACAACATGTATCATGTAGGCCAAAACTAAATACTTAGCATGAGCTGGGTCATTAAAGCAACAGCCAAGTGAGGTGGGTATTTCCTGTACTTTACAGACCAAGACTCAATACAGCACAGAGTTTGAACTTAAACTCTGACTTCTAACCACTTTACTAGCCCACACTTGTCAAATAAGTGAAATAGTTGAGTCCCGTTCTTTCTTTTGGGCAAGTCTTTCCTGCTCTACGATTCCAACTTCTCATGTGTCCAATGGGAATCACAATACACAAACCAGGTAGTGATACCAAGACGTGACACTGCATCCCACAGTTGCCAACTTTAACACTGACGAAGTGCATTTTACCGAGTGCCATGGCCCTGTTGTAAAGTAGGCTTGGAAATTTAACTCTAAGAAGCAGAATATATATATATGAGAAGTTAAAGTGCAGAAGTGCAGAGCTGGAGCTGGCTCTCACAACCAATCGGTTCTACACATCCCCCCACCCCCACCCAGCCCCACCGAAAGTTTGCACCTAAGTCTGACTTCAGAACGTAAGCTCCAAAGGTCCCAGAAGAGTTGAGTGATTTCAACCTCTCGTCCCTGTCACGGAGGGACGGCCCAAAGAAGAACTTCAGATGGGGCCAAAAGATCCCACGAAACAAGGGCGTGGCACAGGGGAGCGGATCTCAGGCCGCCCCTCCCCAAGAGAAATGAATGAGGCCAGGCCCCGGACGAACGCGGCCGTAGCGCCCATGGCCCTCGGGGGCTGCCGTAGGCCCGCGCCGCGGACCCCCTCCCCACCCCAGACGGTCGCGGGCGCTGCCACCAGTTCGCAGCCCTCCGTCAGACCTCGACCCCGACAGAGCTCGAGTCCATGCCCCAGCCCCGCAGGGGAAGGGGATCCCGCCTGGCCAGCACCAGAGTGGCTAGCACCAGCCTCCCACGGGCCGTGCCCGTCTTCCCAAGGCGAGCGGGCCGCAGGGCCTCGCTGCTGAGCCATGCGCAACGCCTCACCCCGCGGCGCCATTCCTCCGAGCTGGTCCCCGCGGAGCCGGAGCTGCGACCTGACTTCCGCTCGGGAAAGTGGCTCCGAGAGCCCGCCTCAGGGGACTTCGGGGACTTGCGGCAAAGACTGCTTGCTGGGATGGGCACTCGACACAGGTAAGTCTCGGTAGCCCCAACGGGCCTAGCCTCAAACCTGCAGCCACCCTGGTGATTCCAGTTCTGGCGCTCTGCAGGCCTCAGAGTTCACGTGTGCGGCCCTGCGTCTCCCCCGCTCTTCGCGCACGCTTAGAACCGTCCGTTCCGCAACGGTCCTATTCGAGGAGCCTCCCGGATGCGGTTGGACCAGGCCTCAGGAGGGGTGGGCTATAGACGGGGCCGTCTCTGATTGGCCAATTGCGGAGATTGGCCAACTGCTCTGTCACTCACTGGTTTCTCTGCAGCCCGGCCAATTTTAAAGGAGCGGGAAGGCCTTGAGCCCCAGCTCAATTTCTGCCTTTTTGCTCGTTGACTGGAGGAAGATAAGGTTTTTTTCTGCCCTGGCTGGCTTTGAAATGGATGATCCTCAGATCTCAGCCTCCTGAGTAGCTAGGATTACAGGCTTGAGATGCAAATGGTGTATTGAAATAGTCTCTGTTTTCAGAAAGTCAACTATTAATTGGTTAAATATAACCATTTAAAAATAATGTTCATAAAATGGGAGAAAGCATATTGAGAACAAAATTTTTCATAATTTCCTGATTCTCTTGTTACATTTTACTCTTTTCTGTGTATTTATGATTTATGATAGTTTATACCTATTGAACCTACCTGCTATCATGTAGAAATACACCATGGTGTGAATACTACTACACAGTTTATTTCTCAGCTTAACATTGGCAGCTTGATTTTGGCACATGACAAACAGAGACTGATGTATTGCTTTGTTGAGTCTGGTCATGTTTACAGATTTTCCATTCTGAATAACAAAAGCTTAAAGAAAATTAAGAAAAGTCTGGTTATGGAAATGTAACTTAGTAATAGAGTGCTTGCCTAGCATGTTCAATCCTCACAAAAAGAGACAAACAAAAGGCTGGGAATGTGGCGTAATCGTAGAGTGTTTGCCTAGCTTCCATGAAGCCCTGGGTTTGATTCCTCAGTACCACATATACAGAAAAAGCCAGAAGTAGCACTGTGGCTCAAGTGGTAGAGTACTAGCTTTGAGCAAAAGAAGCTCAGAAACAGTTCCTAGGCCCTGAGTTCAAGCTCCACAGCCCAGAGAGAGAGGAGGAGAGGAGAGAGAGAGAGAGGAGAGAGAGAGAGAGAGGAGAAAGAGAGAGAGAGAGAGGAGGAGGAGGAGAGGAGAGAGAGAGGAGAAGAGAGAGAGAGAAGAGAGAGAGGAGATTGCACGGGAGGGAAGGGGAGGAGAACCAGAAAACCAACTCTGCTATTAAACATTTATCATTGCAGTTTAGCCTGGTAAAAACATGAGCAAAATATTTTAATAGACACTTCATAAAAGAAAATATGCCAATAGGAAATAAACACAAGAAAATATGATCAACATCTTTGTAGACTACACCAGATATTCTACTACATACATGCAATGCAATGATCAATGCAAAAAGACCAACAATATCAAGTTAGCAAGTATGTAAAGCAATTGGTATTACATACAATACATGTGGAAGTATAAATTTGTACAGCAAATTTTGGAAATGACTCAGCAATTTCCTTAAATTTCAGCCATACAGTCTACCATACATCTTTTTTTTTTTTTTGGGGTCCAGTCGTGGGGCCTGAACTCTTGGCCTGGGTGCTGTCCCTCAGCTCTTCAGCTCAACGCTAGTGCTCTACCACTTGAGCCACAGTGCCACTTCCGGCTTTTTTTTTTCTGCTTATGTGGTGCTGAGGAATGGAACCCAGGGCCTTAAGCATGCAAGGCAAGCTCTCTACCACTGAGCCAACTTCCCAGCCCTACCATACATTTTAACCTTTCCACTAGAGTGTGTGTTTTTTTTTTTTTTTGGTGGCGGGGGCGTTGGAGGAGAGGAATTGAGACAGGAATCTCATCATGTAGATCACACTGACCTTGAAGTTGTGATCCTCCTTCCTCAGCCTCCTGAGTGCTGGGATTATAGGTGTGCACCACCAAACCTGGCCATTTGTTTTTAAGTATTAATATTTTTATTATCATTAAAAAATACATTCACAGGGCTGGGAAGGTGGCTCAGTGGTAGAGTGCTTGCCTTGCATGCATGAGGCCCTAAGTTCTATTCCTCAGCACCACATAAGCAGAAAAAGCCAGAAGTGGCACTGTGGCTCATGTGGTAGAGCCCTAGCCTTGAGCTGAAGAGCTGAGGGACAGTGCCCAGGCCCAGAGTTCAAGCCCCACGACAAGCAAAAAAAAGAAAAAAAAAGAAAAAATACATTCAAAGGGAAGTGGTGCGCTCAAGTGGTAGAGCGCTCACCTGGAGCTGAAGAACTGAGGGATAGCACCGAGGCCCAGAGTTTAAGCCCTACGACCAACAAAAAAAGAAAAAAATCAAAAACATTCACAGAAGATTGCCCGACTCCAGTGTCTCACACCTGTAATCCTTGCTACTCTGGAAGCTGAGATCTGAGGATAGATTTCCAAAAGCAGCCTGAGCAAGAATGTCTGTGAGAGTCTTATATTTAATGAAATATTAAAAAAGGCAGAAGTGGAGCTGTGGCTCAAGTGGTAGAGTACTAACCTTGAGCAAAAAATATCAGGTCCAAGCCGGGCTCTGGTGGCTCATGCCTGTTATTCTAGCTACTCAGAAGGCTGAAATCTGAGGCAGCCTGGGCAGGAAACTCCATCAGACTCTTATCTCAAATAAACTACTCAAAAAAGCCAGAAGTGGCACTGTGGCGCAAGTGGTAGAGCGCTTGCCTTGAGCAAAAGAAGCTTGGGACAGTACCCAGGCCCAGAGTTCAAGCCCCAGGACTAGCACCAAAATAAATAAATATGTATACATATGTATGTACACACATCTGTAATATGTATATATTCATATGTATATATGTATATTTACAGAAAATAAAGTTCAAATTTCATTGGTTTATTTTTTGCAATATTGACTAAATATTTATAACATATATAAGAAAAAGAAAATATACAATGAGGCTATGTAGCAGTCAAACTGTTAAAGAAATTAACCATAATTTTAAGTCTTCTTCCTAATTTAACCCATTCTGTCTCCTTCCCTACCCTGTAAAAGATACTCATCTTACAGATCATATTGTATCCTTGATTCTTTTCATACTTTTACCCCATATGTTTTATTTTATTCATTTATTTTATTTTATTTTATTTTTTTTTGAGTCCAGTTGCGGGGCCTGAACTCTGGGCCTGGGCGCTGTCCCTCAGCTCTTGAGCTCAAGGCTAGCGCTCTACCACTTGAGCCACAGCAACACTTCCGGCTTTTTTCTTATGTGGTGCTGAGGAATTGAACCCAGGGCCTCAAGCATGCAAGGCAAGCACTCTACCAATGAGCCAACTTCCCAGCCCCCGGCTTTTTTCTTATGTGGTGCTAAGGAATCGAACCCAGGGCCTCAAGCATGCAATGCAAGCTCTCTACCACTGAGCCAACTTCCCAGCCCCCCATATGTTTTAATGCTTACAAGTATTTTAGTTTTACATTATTATAATTATTTAGCTTTTTATGTAAATGGAATTTACTGCATATTTTTCTGAGACTTTTTAATTTTAAGGTTTTATTTTTGAGACAGTCTGCTATGTAGCTCAAGATGGCCTTGAGCTCATGATCTTGCCTGAGTTTCCTGAGTGCTGGGATTAAAAGAATGCACAGTCACTCCCAGCTTTCAACCCATTCATTGTCACTGCTATATAAATATACTAGATACCACAGATGTTCATTCTTTTATGTTTTGTACTGCGAGGCAGCAACTCTGGTTCTTATACTTGCTAGGCAGGAGCTCTTACTACTGAGCCATTCTTCCCAGTCCTGATTTTTGCTGGTTATTTTTGACCTAGCATCTTGCTCCTTGCCCTAGGTGCAATTTACCTATGTTATGAGTCCTATGTTGTGGGGATAACAGGTGTGCTCTACCACATTCTGCTCTTTATTGAGAAGGATCTTGAAACCTTTTCTGCCTGGCCTGGCCTTGAATCACAGTCTCTAATTTCAGCCTCTTAGGTAAGTGACTAGGATAATAATAGGCACGAGCCACCAGTCCCCAGCTATGTTCTCCTGCTGCTGGACCTCCATTTCTTTTTTTTTTTTTTTAATTTATTTTTGGGTCCGGTCGTGGGGCCTGAACTCTGGGCCTGAGTGCTGTCCCTCAGCTCTTCAGCTCAAGGCTAGCGCTCTATCACTTGAGCCACAACGCCACTTCTGGCTTTTTTCTTTTTGCTTATGTGGTGCTGAGGAATCGAACCCAGGGCCTCATGCATGCAAGGCAAGTGTTCAACCACTGAGCCACCTTCCCAGCTGGACCTCCATTTCTTATCTTGATGATTGCCATGGAGATTCTTCTATATATTCCTGATACACACATGTGAAAGTTGTACTAGAATACACTTTATTCAACTTTATTACTAATGCCAAATGGTTTTCAAAGTGTTAGTACCAATTTACACTTCCAACTGAAACATATAAGATTTATTTCTGCTCTATACTTTTGTTAAATTTAATATTTATACTGATATAAAAAGTAATATCAAAGTTTAAAAACTAAATTTCTCTCTCCATGATTTCACTCCACAAATGTTACATTGTTTTTTGTGTCATTCCTGGGGCTTGAACTCAGGGCCTGGGCAGTCTCAGTGCTCAAGTCTAGCTCTCTACCACTTGAGCCACAGCTCCACTTCCTGCTTTTGGGCGATAAGTTTATATGAGATAAGTGCCAGTCTGGGCTGGCTTGACTGCGATCCTCAAATCTCAGCCTCCTAAGTAGCTAGGATTACAGACATGAGCCACCGGTACCCAGCCACAAATGTTTGAATTCCATGTTTTTCTATTTGTCCCAGTGTGTGTGTGTGTGTGTGTGTGTGTGTGTGTGTGTGTGTGTGTGTGTGTGTGTGTGTGTGTGTGTGTGAAATATATACTGTCTTATGTCAATAAACATGTTATTATGTGCTAACTATTGTTTGGCCATTTGATTTTTCATTAATCTTACCTATACTAAACACTGATAGACTCATTCATTCACTTTATCAATATTTACTGAGCATTACCACATGCTAGGCATGGTTCTAGGATGTTTGGATATAGTCAAAGCAGTCTAAGACTGTTGATCTTCTGAAGCCTACATTTTAGTAGGAGTAAGTGGATAAACAATGATCATTTATAAAAACTTGAATTGGGGGGCTGGGAAGATGGCTCAGTGATAGAATGCTTGCTTTGCATGCATAGGCCCTGGGTTCGATTCCTCAGCACCACATAAGCAGACAAAGCTGGAGATGTCGCTGAAGCTCAAGTGGTAGAGCGCTAGCCTTGAGCTAAAGAGCTGAGGGACAGTGCCCAGCTGTTCAGTTCAGACCCCACTACCAACAAAAAACAACAACAAAAAAAACCTGAATTGGGCTGGGTGAATAGCTCCATGGTGGAGCACTTAGAATATGCAAGGCCTGGGCTGGGAAGGTGGCTCAGTGGTAGAGCACTTGCCTTGCATGCCTGAGGCCCTGGGTTTGATTCCTCAGCACCACATAAGAAAAAAGAAAAAAGCCAGAAGTGGTAGAGTGCTAGCCTTGAGCTGAAGAGTTGAGGGACAGTGCCCAGGCCCAGAGTTCAGGCCCCACGACCGGACCCCCCCAAAAAAAAAGAATATGCAAGGCCCTGGGTTCTACCGTAAGCACCAATAAATAACTAAATGGTACATAAGATGTTATGTGCTATGGACAAAAGAAAAAGTAGGCAAAAGCAAGGAGATCAAAGTGGGATAGAGGGGTGTTATCCATCCACCTATCCATTTTACTACCTGTGAAGCTGACAGTTTTCTAGGTACTAGGAAGACAAGGTTTCTCCTCTTATAGAGCTAACATTCTGATGAGACAATCAAGCAAATGAACAAGGTCTTTGCTGGTGATGATAAAAAATACTCTGGGGGAAAAAAAGTAACTATGGGCTGGGATGGAAAGAGGTCACTTACTATATCCAGACCAAGATCACTAAATACTTCTCTGAGCAGGGGATGCTTGGGTTTTCAACTGAATGAGCAGACAAAAGCAGCTGTCTCTGAAAAAATAATTGTTCTAATCTCCTCTTTGTTCCTAGGATCTATGATCAGGAAGAATTGGTGATCCCTTATGCTTCTGACAGTGATTCAGGAAGTGTAGATTTGCAGCTAAGCGACTTAGAGGGTATTAAAAAAGACTCAAGTAGTACAGATCTTACAGGTAAAAGGGGTAAAGGAATTTTTTTTTAATGGGTGGGAAGGAAAGTCTCTCCTCTGCTTCTGCCTTGTCCCTTCTTCCTCCCCATCTCCTTCTTTCTTTCCATAGTGCTAGAGCTGCCAAGCAGATAGTAAAACTATCTATCCTCATGTGCATTGGTCCTCCCCACTAAATTGTTATAACTTCATTGTAATAAGATGTCATCTGGTGTCTTTCTTGCAGTATTAGACTTGGAAATCCCTGACATCCCTGAATTCTCACAGGAGTCCTTCACAGATAGCCTCAGGAACCTAAATCGTGGGAGCCCCCTCAGCCAGACCAGTGTGGAGAGGCTGGTCCAGTCCATCCAGGAAGTTTTTCGTGGTAAGCTGAAGGTATGCACAGCATTCTTTTTTTTTTTTTGGTAGGTCATGGGGCTTGAACTCTGGTCTTGGGCGCTGTCCCTGCGTTCTTCAGCTCAAGGCAAGCGCTCTACCCTTGAGCCACAGCACCACTTCCAGTTTTCTGGTAGTTTATTGGAGATGAGAGTCTCACAGAATTTCCTGCCTGGGCTGGCTTTGAACTGTGATCCTCAGATCTCAGCCTCCTGAGTAGCTAGGATTACAGGCGTGAGCCACCGGCTCCTGGCTTGCACAGCATTCTTTATGAGCAATCCAGTTCATTTCTCTGTGTGAACAAATGTTTCAAACATATTATTTCTTGGGGCTGGGAAGGTGACTCAGTGGTAGAGCACTTGCCTTGCATGCCTGAGGCACTGGGTTCAATTCCTCAGCACCACATAAGCAAAAAGAAAAAAGCCAGAAGTGGCGCTGTGGCTTAAGTGGTAGAGCGCTAGCCTTGAGCTGAAGAGCTGAGGGACAGCACCCAGGCCCAGACTTCAGGCCCCACGACCGGACCCAAAAAAAACCAAACAAAACAAAAAATATTATTTCTTTTTTTTTTTTTTTTGGTCGGCCGTGGGGCTTGAACTCTGGACCTGGGCACTGTCCCTCAGCTCTTCAGCTCAAGGCGAGTGCTCTACCACTTGAGCTACAGCGCCACTTCCGGTTTTCTGGTAGTTTATTGGAGATAGGAGTCTCACGGTCTCTCCTGCCTGGGCTGGCTTTGAACTGCGATCCTCAGATCTCAGCCTCCTGAGTAGCTAGGATTACAGGCTTGAGCCACCAGCGCCCGGCTATTATTTCTTTATTACAAAAATATTTTGAGTTGTTTTTCTTTATGCTTATAAATAAAATTTGTGTTTACATATTTATTGATAAAAATATACGCCATATAAAAACAGAGACAACCATAAAATATTAAAAGTCTTTTCTATCCTCAGTCAGTTGTGGGGCTTGAACTCAAGGTCTGGGCGCTGTCTCCGAGCCTCTTTGTGCTCAAGGCTAGTGTTCTACCACTTGAGCCACAGCACCACTTTTGGCTTTTGAGTGATTAATTGGAGAAAAGAGTCTCACAGGGACTTTGCTGCCACCCAGACTGGCTTCAACATGAGATCCTCAGATCTCAGCCTCCTAGTAGCTAGGATTACAGGTCTGAGCCACCTGCTCCCAGCACTGTTAGCAGTTTAATATATATGGTGTGTACAGAAATATGTATATATACATATGTGTATATTTACATATATATGCATATATACACACACACACACACACTCGGGCCTTTTCTTTCCATACAAGAACACATAATTATAGTGAAAAAATCCTATATGGTGATAGAAAACAAATATTCTAGGTAGATTATTAACTATATATTGTACTACTTTTAGGCTATATATTATTCCATCATTTAAATTAAATGTTTATTTGTTCATGGATCCTGTGGGAGCATGTAACAGAAAGAACTTATGTTGACCTGGGAATAAAGGAATGCCTCTCTGAGGAAGTTACTCTTGAGCTCAGATCTGAGCAATGAAAGGGAGAAACTAGCAGTACTAGGAGTAGTATTCCAGAAAAACAAAATCAGTTATTAATAACCTTGAGGCATAGCACGCTGAGGAACCCCAGGGAACCTGGCATGTCTAAATCATGGTGATGAAGGAGATCAAGAGTGATGGGTAAGGCTGAATAGATGGATTCAGCAGGCCATGCTGCGTCTTGAAAACATGGACAAGGATCTGGAGGTGTGTTTCAAGCCTAGCATGTACAGGCCTTGGATTCAATTCTTAGCACAGGAAGAAGAAAACTGGGATAAGAATTTGTTCTTTAGCTGGGTGCCCAGTGGCTCACGCCTGTAATCCTAGCTACTGAGGAGACTGAGATCTGAGGATCTCGGTTCAAAGCCAACCCCGGGCAGAAAAGTACGTGACACTCTTATCTCCAGTTAACCACTAGAAAACCGGAAGTGGTACTGTGGCTCAAGAGGTAGGTACGGCGCCTTGAGCTGAAAAGTGCAGGGATAGCACCCAAGCCCAGAGTTCAAGCCCCACGACCTACAAAAAAAAAAAAAAAAGAATTTGGTCTTTAGCCTAAGAACAATTAAGTGAATAAGGAAACAGTGTTCTAGTTTATTCAACAGTACCCTATTATCAGCCATTTTGGTTCTTTCCAGATTTTTATAGTTTGTTGGCAGATAATCCTTTTGGATTTTACTCAGTGGTGGATATTAAACTCAAACCCTTGCAAATGTCATTAACATATACATATTCTAGGTGATTTGTTATACCTTATATGATTTTTTTTCTGGGTTAATTCCTAAATATGAATCAAAGGGTATGTACCTTTTTGTGTGTCCTGATCCTTGAACTCAGGGCCTAGACACTATTCCTGAGCTTTTTTGCTCAAGGCTAGCACTTTACCACTTATGCCACAGCTCCACTTCCAGCTTTGTAATGGTAAATTGGTGATACGAATCTCACAGACTTTCTTGACCAGTCTGGCTTCAAACCATGATCCTTGGATTTCAGCCTCCTTAGTAGCTAGGATTACAGATGTGAGCCACCAATGCCCAGCTTCTACCTTTTTTTTTTTTTTTGGGTCCGGTCGTGGGGCCTGAACTCTGGGCCTGGGCGCTGTCCCTCGCGCTCTACCACTTGAGCCACAACACCACTTCCGGCTTTTTTCTTTTTGCTTATGTGGTGCTGAGGAATCGAACCCAGGGCCTCAGGCATGCAAGGCAAGCGCTCTACCACTGAGCCACCTTCCCAGCCCGATTCTACCTTTTTTAAGCTCTCAATGGTTATTGTTAAATTATCCCCTAAGAATGTATATGGTACACACACACACACACACACACACACACATTCTTTCCAGTAAAATTTATTAAATCCAATTAAAAATAATTACAGTTACTCAAAATCAGTGTTTTGGTTGTTTGTGTGTGTGTGTGTGTGTTACAGAGGATCAAAACCAGAGCCACACACATGATAGCCAAGTAAGGGCTCTACTCTTGAGCTACATCTCCCAACCTGCTTTTGTTTTGAAATCTTAATTATCTAATTGATAAAAAAAGGAGAGGTGGGAATCTTTTTTTTTTTTTTTCTTGGGCATGGGGCTTTGAATTCTGGGCTTGGGCGTTGTCCCTGCGCTCTTCAGCTCTAGGTGAGCACTCTACGGCTTGAGCCACAGCACCACTTCTGGTTTTCTAGTGGTTTATGGGAGATAAGAGTCTCACAGAGAAGTACAAGTTGTCATGTCGAAAACGAACTTTACAACTTTGGTGGGGGGGGGATGGAGGGAGAGGCTGGGAAGGGATGTGAAGGGTAAACAAAGGAGGAGGCTGCAATGCTTGATAAGAAATGTACTCATTATCTTGCCCATGTAATTGTAACCCCTCTGTACAATATGTTCACAAAAAATAAAAATTAAAATTAAAAAAAAGTTATTAAAGCAAGACTGATAAAAAAATTAAAAAAAAGAGTCTCACAGACTTTCCTGCCCAGGCTGGCTTTGAACTGTGATCCTCAGATCTCAGCCTCCTGAGTAACTAGGATTACAGGCGTGAGCCATATTTTAGACAGTAGCAAGAAGTATAGAGGAGTCAGAAGGTGCAGAGGCCCAGAAGCAGGAAAGGGCATCATGGAAGTTAATTTACTAGAGCTCAGAATGTCAGACAGGGCAAGAGATGATCTGAAAGGTCATGGTCTTGGTCTTGCAATTGAAAGACTATACAAGTTACTGGATCTAATGTTCGTTTGAGAAAGACGTATCTGGCGATAGCTATAGAAATGGATTGGAGAGGGACAAAACTGGAATGAAGATGCCCATTGTTAGATGGCTATCCTAGTTCGTGTGAAATATGACATCATGAAATCAGCTTTCATGTACTGAAACTTCAAAGAGAGTGCACCAGTTTACATCACTTATGTATAACTAGAAGAATTGTTTCAAGGGCTGGGAAGGTGGCTCAGTGGTAGAGCGCTTGCCTGGCATGCATGAGGCCCTGGGTTTGATTCCTCAGCACCACATAAGCAAAATGAAAAAACCCGGAAGTGGCGCTGTGGCTCAAGTAGTAGAGCGCTAGCTTTGAGCTGAAGAGCTGAGGGACAGCGGCCAGGCCCAGAGTTCAAGCCCCATGACTGGACCCAGAAAAAAAAAAAAAAAAAGAATTGTTTCAAATCTTTCTCAAATGGAATTATTGGTGTCATATATTTTCTCCTTTTTTTTTTTTTTGGCCAGTACTGGGGCTTGAACTCAGGGCCTGAGCACTGTCCCTGAACTTCATTTGCTCAAGGCTAGCACTCTACCATTTGAGCCACAGCACCACTTCCAGCTTTTTCTGTACTAAGGAATGAATCCAGGGCTTCATGCATGGTAGGCAACCCCTTTACCACTAAACATATTCCCAGCCCTATTTTCTTCTTTATACTATGTTTTTCAATTTTTTATGATAAACAGATACTGGTTTTGCAATCAGAAAAAAAAATAGAATGTCAATACAACAAAAAGAGAATATATTCTTCAAATCAGATCTTTCCTTTTCATTAAAAAAAGCTTTAAGGACTTGAAATAATGACTCTGTAAGGCCATGAAGAGAATTAGAATGAACTGTCTCAAAGGTCACCTTTAGGAAGCTTAATTTGGTAGTTCTCCACAGTGTGGGTAAGTAAGGACATAAAGACTAAACATGGGGGCTGGGAAGGAAGGTGGCTCAGTAGTAGAATGCTTGCCTTGCATGCATGAAGCCCTCAGCACCACATAAGCAGAAAAGGCCAAAAATGGTATTGTGGCTCAAGTGGTAGAGCATTAGCCTTGAGCTGAAGAGTTGAGGGACAGCACCAGGCCCAGAGTTCAAACCCCATGACCAACAAAA